TTAGTCATTTTTCAGCATTCTATGGAGATGGTCTTGAAATGCAACAAAACTCTTTAGAGAACATCATAACCATTAAGAACAAATAAGAAATAAATCACTATACTATTATATAAAATTTATTAAAATGCTACTAACAATTCCTATAGATTATTTTCAGGACTTTCTTAAATCTTATTTTAGTTCAACAATGAAACAGTAACAACTAAATCAAATCGTAATTTTTAAATGTTAATAAGAAGAACTTGATTTAAATATGATAATATAAATTATAAATAAATATGAATAACATTTATGATAATTATATCATTAAATATATTAAATATTATTTAGCCATTTATATTATAAATGAGAGAAATAAAAAATATATTTTCCATTCAAATATCAAAATTATAAGCATTTTTGGCTATTTTTTTTTACAATCAATTAATTTGATAAAGTTTTTTTTTCAAGTTTTGAATATGTTTAAAATAAATTCAGCTAGTTCGAAAATTATATGATGGATGGTAATATTCTTTTACATCTCATATTTTCAATTCCCCTTAAACAATTTACAATAATAAAAACCGAGGATCAAAAAAAAATCGCCACTTATTTCTGATTATATAAATTTATGCAAAGCATATACATTGAATTTTTTTTATTTTATATTTAATTTAAAAGAAACTTATTGAAAAATCCCTTAATATAAATAAGTTCAATTTTTTATTGTTATTGAAACAAGGTAATATTATATAATAAGTGGGAATGATAATTTATAAATTTTCGCCAAATCGTTTGCCATTTGTATTTTAAATCGAATTTATTACGACAGTGATATATAATTTTTAGATGATTCCAATTCATAATGTGATTATCCTCGTAATATCAAGATTGTTTGTGAACATGTCAAATAATAATATTTTAATTTTTGTGTATTTTATCCTTAATTTGACAATGGCAATGCCGATAATTTTTAAAATATCGCTTCCCCAGTATGATAACCCCTTCTTTCAATAATAGTTAAAAATTGAACTTATTTATAAAAGGGATTTTCAAGAAAGTTTCTTTTAAATAAAATTCTATATAAAGTTACCCCCCCCCCCTGCCTCTTTAGTATAACCGCGCATGAATTGCGGTGAGAAAGTCATTCATATATATAGTTTATATATTTATATTTTATAGGATTTTTTCTTTTCTAGAATCAGATTTCATCCTAAATTCGTAGTTGAATCTAACCTGATCCAATTTCGAACTCGAATTGGTCGGACGGGCGGATAGAGAGAAAATTTAAAATTAGGGTTATATTGTCTCCCTCGACTTTATAACATTAAGCTGATAGGAAAGTTGACGAAAAAAACAAAATTAACGATAAGATAAATAGGAAAGCGAACACTTTTTGATTACGGAGATTATATATATATAGGTATTTTATAGGATATAAAAAAATTAAATATAAAACTACAAAATAGTTTTAAATAATTTATATATTTAGCAATTAATGGTATTATATAGTCTATAGCATCGCGGAGAAGATTTGGATTAAAGGAGTGTCCATCAGACTTGAAATATTTTTGATGTAACCAAAAAATAATAATTGGGTATTAAAATAATGTTTCTTTAAAGATTATATTAGTGACGTAAAATGATAAGAGCAAGCGGCATGAGAACTGTGTTGAAAATCTCTTCTTTTTTATTACAAAGTCTCACATTAAGATATCTCATTTCTATTATATTGGCTATAGTATAATTTTAAAAAACATTAACTTATTATAATAAAATCATTATGTATATATTAAGTTTTTTTCTACAACGTAGGTAAAAAGAATTATCTTCATCATTATTAAAATAAAAACATAATCTATGCATTAGGTATATAAATGGCCATTATTTTTTATTAACATCTTCTTAATACTCAACTAGATTTCTATTATTTTCTCATTATATCTCTACCTCTTATTACAATTATTACATTTTTTTAAAAAAAAAAAATTAAATTAAAAAATTTTGTAAGAAATTACAAAAAAAATTTTCTTTTTTAAAAGATAGAAAATAAAAGATTTGCATAATATGCTAATGAGATGAGCATTTCATTTATTATTATAAAAAAGGCATATTACAAGAAGAAATTACACTATTATAAATATACTATAATTTATGAAAGCGAAATAATATTGAAATTAAGAGGAATCTATTTAAAGGTGAAACATTTTTTTTTTTAAATTATATTATCTATGACCCGACCCTAGTGTAATGTCAAGAGTAAGGGTGGAAAAATTATAGCTTTTTTTCTACTTTTGCTTAGTTAGAAATAACATTTTGTATATAAATGAAAATTGAAAACTGAAATTGAATATCTGTTTAACTTATGATCCCTCGAGAAATTCATGTTTATAATATTAACATTTTGCAAAAAAAAAATTGTCATTTTTTTATCAAAATTTTGAATATAAACTTAAATTGAATTATAAAAAAAAAGTTACATAACGTATTAGAATTTCTTTCAAAAAAACAAAAATTATTTTAAAGTACAAAGTTTGTTTTTTAAGGCTCGACAAAAAAAAGGGAAGATCGGGAAAAGTGTTATTCCGAAGCAGTAACTTTCTTATCTGATAATTCCAAAATTAATATAACTTTTAAAATGTATTTTAATAAGTGCGTAAATGATTATAAAAATGTTATATAAAAAAAAGTGCTCATGAAAATTTCTAACTTGGAGATTTAAATTCTAACACTCAAAAATTATATTCTTTCTAAATATATTATTTTATAAAAAGTTATTCAGACTAAATAACAATCAACCAATCTCATTTTTATGCTATATAAAAAATATTGATAAAATTTATGCTAATTTAATATCCGCAAATTGGTGAAAATAATTGATAATAAGACATGTCACCATTGAATGATCAATATTAAGAGCCAAATAATTATGAGATTCGATTTCATTATCTATTTAAAATATAGATGGATTTCTATTTGTGACCTAAGGCCTTGTTCAAACAAAGCGAAATTAAACTAATTGCCCCAGTCAACACAAATATAAAACATAATTGTGAATCCTAAAAATTACACTAAATTTACAGCTATTGCGAGTTATCATTTTGCAAATGCTCGTCATTTATCTTAGATTGGGCTAGACCTAAGAAGATCTAAATTAAATTTTAGTGCTTGAATAATTCTTTAAAAAAACAATTTTCAGTTGGAATTAGAAAAATATGCCAATATGAAAATTTGTGAGAACCATAATGTTAGAATTCATAGATTTTAAAGAAAATGTAAATCTAAAATTTCACTAATAATATGAAATTATACTTTTTCTAACTTTTCTTGAAATGAATTCAAGATTATTGTGTCATGATGAATTAATTATAATTAATTTTCCCATAGACCTATATAAATTAATTCGAATATAGCCTAAGACTTTACCACACTAAAATTATCTCTTTCAAAAGTAAAAAAAAACCAGTGCTATATAATTTAAAGTTAAAATTTTGCTAATATCTTTACTTTACCCAATTTTCAATTATAATATATAAATTTTGTTTACAAAATGTCAAATCGTGCTAAAAAGTTTATCAAAAAGTAGATTTAATTCAAAAAGATATGCTTTGCTCAAGTTAGTGTTGGTAACTTGAGATTTCTTTAATAGATGCCCAAACATTTGTTCCTACTACAAACAAAATCTTCAGGTCTTGCGTAATAGTATTCTGGATGAGATATTGAGTTAGCCGTTTTTAAAAATCGGCTCTAAACGAGCCGTTTAACAACACTAGCTCAAGTAGAAAATATTGCACGCACGCCGAGGCGACTTTTAATCTCTCGAAGCCCCTGCATTTAACTTAAGAAGTGAAAGTCTACATTTCAATCAAACATTTTTAATATTTTTTTTGTTTCAATTTGTTAATCAAAAAAAAAAAATTGGATTTTAAATTTTACTCTAATTTAAGAGTAAGAAAATAATAAATAAAAAAAAAAGGATTCTATATAAAATAATAGTACAATACTTAATATATATGATTAGGAAAACAAAACCAGAGGGAAGATTATAATTAATTAATTAACCTGGTATGATAAGGTGTACTATTTATTATAATGAATGTTTATTACAAAATACAAAATGATAAAAATAAATCGTTTTTTTTTTAAATTTACACAAAATATCTATCCAGGGCTTATTATAAGCAATTTTATTAAAGTATATAAGTCATTTAAAAGGCTCTTATAAAGTCATTCTTCACTACTATTACATTTTCAGGGCTTAAAAAATATATGTATTTATCTATTTTATGCCAATAGGCCAATTGTTTAGATATATATATATATATTAATAATAAGTATTTCTTCTCATTATATTATATTTTCCTTTTACTTCTTGATTTTGATTTTTTTATGCTTAATTTTATTTATATTTCTAACCGGGATTTCATGGAAAAAATAAAAAATTCTTTCATAATCTCATTTCGTAACCAAATATTAAAATGATTATTTTAATTTATATACATAATTTCATGGCGTATAATGAGTAAGGTTGATAATTAATTATTTATATAAATATTTAAAACAAAATTATGTTTCAAATTGATAATCCACAATTAAAAAATCTTCAAATTAACGAATAATACATACATCTTATCGCTCTCAAATTTGATTAAAACTTATATATTACATCCAATTTTAATGATATATATTGAAAATTACAATTAGTTAATTGGAATATAATGATAAACCTTTATATATATAAAAATATTTTTTTACCTGCCATGAGGAATGATCAGGAAATTTATCAATATTTTCGGAAGTCATTCGTTTGTTCAATTTTGATTTAAATTATTTTGGGGGAAATTTCAAGAAAAAGTAACACTTTTCAGATCAAAAAACCCATTTTTAAAAAAAATATATGGATTTCCGTAAATTTAATCCAAACTTTTTATTAATTAATAAATTTATAAAATAAAAAGTTTTTAATTATATATAAGTGAATTTTTTTTATATAAAATTATAAATTATACAAATAATGTTGATTAAAATAAATCCTCTAAAAAATATATTGTTATAAGGAAGGGGGGATAATGAATTATGATTCCTCCTTCACCCTGAGATGAATTTCCTTGATATTCCCGCCTTTTCGTATGATTGTCCTTTTTACACTTTTTTTTTAATTTAAAAAAAAATTAAGTATTGGTTTATTTTATATTATATTATATAAAAATAAGAAATTCAAAAAAAAAACACTTTTCTTTTTTAATTATTTTATTTATTTTATTTTTTTTTAATGTCATCTTTTATTTTATATATATTTTTTTTCTTATTTACGAAAATTGAAGATAATATTATTGATGACAAAAAAACGAAAAAAAAACTTTTTCTTTTAAAAAAGAGATAAATAAATTAAATATACAAAAATGTTAATTAATTTTAATGTTAATATAATATATAAAAAAAAATTACTTTAAAAAATGTTTTTGAGGAGTATTTTGCTATAATTTTTATTCCAAAATTCGAAAATTACATATAAAATGTAGAAAGAAAGAATAAAGAAATAAAGAATGAAAAAAATAATGTGCTCCGAATTTCCAAAAAAATACCGTTGTGTGTAACACTAAGAAAATAGTATATTCAGCAATAATAATATTGTAAGTAAAAGTATTCACTGCACTTTGAATATCGAGTCAAGATAAATTATTATCCAAAATTTTTCTAACATTACTTAGGGCTCTTTTTATTTTTAATGTATTAATAAGCTTAAATCCCGGTTTAGATTCAATCTTCTAAGTGTCAAAAAATGTGATATTTATAAAAAAAAATCATATATCAGTTAACTTTAACCCCTCAATTATAAGATGAAGTAGACGTACATATTTTCTTAATATTAGTAACTACTCAAAGGTTCGATGAATGATGATTCTCTTTTATAAGACCAGCAAGTACACATTTAATAAACAAATAGGATCCCCTAGTTTATGTTCTGAATAGATAGTCTAAACAAAATAGGTTTTAGAAAAAAGGAAAAACCAGGACATGGATTAACTCTTTATAATTTTATTATTTGTTTATTTTTGTATGTTAAATTCATGTCACGAGCCTTCCAGGCGCTTAGGGAGGTTTTTATAGAGAGGGATATTTTCTGAAAACTTTGAAAAATTATAATAAAATAAATCGAATATTGATTACATTTATCTAGTACCCGCAGTGCCCTCAAGAAAAAAGAAGGCCGAATTAAACCCATTGTTATTGGCTCTCAGGATAATCATCTCAAAAATTATTTTCTCAAGAATCAGAGATAGTCTATTTGTTCAGCCCGATAACCCGGAGTTGGCACTCATGATTTGGCAATCTTGGGAGCGCTAAAACCTCATATCACACTGCCTATGTTTAATCAATCACTCGGCAGATAATTTTTTTTTTTTAAATGAGATTTTGTCGAAGCATTTAGTATTGTAAAGACGAATCATTTTGTGCCTGCTTTTTGTGAATATTCCCATCCCATAATTTGATAATTATATTTACGAGAGCTACAATATTTCTTTTTTAAAATATAATAGTCGTGTCATTTTATCTCAAGTGGAATTATCAAGCAGTACCCATTAAGACTGGTTCTTTCCTGTGTATGGATCTAAAGCTTAATCATGGAAACAAAAAGGTCTAAACTCTCAATTCATGGTACTTTGACTACAATTTTGTTGCAACAGATCCCTCAGCAATCTCATATACCCCCAAAATAATTGTAAATGCTGGATCAAAACACCTTTCATTTATTAAACTTAAAATTATTCAAAAGGTTGATGACAGTCTTGGCACGATTTGTGTGCGAATATCAAATTCATAAAGTTCAACAATTACTTAATTTATGAAATTCCTCATCAACATTTGCCCTAATTTCTTTAAGCTGAAAAAAGATCTTATAAAAAATTACAATTAAATAATTTGTTGATACATTTTAATGCAAAAAAATTGGGATTTTTTAGATGTTCTTTTCAGACAATTCCGCTATTTTGTTAAGAGTGCTTATAATACTCTTTTATAACTATAAAATCAGTGACTGCTTAATAGCTAAAACTCTTTAGCCTTGGAAGGGGATTTCCCCATACCCTCCTCTACATAGCTAGATGCGCGTTTAAATAATACTTATAAGTTATAACTTTAACTAACTATATACTAAAGTTTAAATCAAATACGAATATCTCATTATTCGATTCTATTTTCTGAATGCAGTCAGGATAAATTGGCTATTTTATTTTTATGCATCTGGTTAATTATTTTAATGGGAGGGGTTAAACAACTTTTTTTTAATTATTATTTTTTTTACATGTTTTAAATTTTTCTCATCAACTGATTCAAAAATATACTATAGACAATCCCTAACTCAAGCAGTCATTACGAGATCCAATACATATCCTTGAATTCTAATTGAGCCAATAATAATAAGTAAAATTTTAAAATTGACCTTGACATTTCAAATGGTTTCTCACGAAAATATCAAATTATTATTGCCAACCCAAAATCTGAATTCTTTATATTTTTTTTTACGAATTATTTATCATACAAGTTACAAACAGCATTTTTTTAAAAAAAATAAAATTATTGTATAAGATAATAAATTAATAATGAATGTAAAAAAAAAAATTCTTCCCCAATAACACCTTGAAGGTATATATCCAAAAAAAATATATAAATTTAAAAAAAAAAAATATCGACAAATCTAGATTTTTATTGTAAAATCATAATTTAAAAAAGATTTATCAAATTCTTAAAAATTATAGTATATATTAATCTTAAAAAAAATTATCAAAATAAAAAAAAGGTATAAATATTTTAAATTAAAATGTTTTTCTTTATTTTGTATAATCATTTGATAATGATATTTTATTTAAGCGGATTTCAATTTCAGGGAAAATTTTTTATTCCACTTGTCTCTAGACCACTAGAGTAAGCAGGATTTGGGGGAAGGGGGTGATTATACATTTAAAAGCTTCGCCTTTCAAACTCTTTTTAGCAAGGCCTTCGGCCTGATTCACTTTAGAAGTTTTGATTGAAGATTTTGCAGTTGTATACCCAGAGATATTTCATGAAAATATCATTTTTATGAGCACTCTATAGTTAAAATGGTGTTTAAATATTGTTGGTCATCATCGGAATTCTCAATTTTTTCTTTCCTTTTGCATATTTTTCTGAGTAATTAATAGGCAATATATATGCAAACTTACAGATGTATCTTTGAGATAGCTTAGTTACTTTTATATTTTAAATAGACTTGTAGCACCCTTGGAAATTCTAATCCCAAAAAGATGAGTTGGTTTAGTGGAAAAATAAAAGCTATCGAATTGATAAAAATAAATTTAGAACGGAAATTTAGTAACAATGTAGTTAAAGTATTGCGAAGATTTATGGTGTCTATATATTATTTTAATCGTGATTAGTAAAGCTGGTGCTAGTGGGAATCTAGCCTAATATGAACCACTAATGTATCATTATTTCTTTTAAATTTATATTTTATTTTTGATTATTTTGTGGATTACCTATATTAAATTTCACGAGATATTCCAAATATTTTATATATCCTTAAATGTTTATAAAATTATTAAAATTATGTTTTAATTTGTATATATAAATTTTTTTAAGCTAATTTTTATTGTATTTCATAGTTATAATTTAAACAATAAAATATTAAAATTATTCTATAAATATCAAACTTAAAAAAATAGGCAATTTTGGAAATTTCCATTATAAGGCAAGAGATCTATGCTTTTGAATGCCCATAAGATAATTTGACTAATCACAATCAATTCTTTTACAAAATGATCATAAATATCTTACTAAAAGATATCTATTGATATTTAAGAATTCCCAATAGGGTACGGAAGTTACAGACGATAATAAGAAGAATAAATTTTCCTACCCCCAGAATCCCTTATGTTCAAAAAGTTAAATTAAATAATACTTATAATATGAATATTAAATTTGATAGTTTTGATTTTTTGTAGAAGCCCTTTATAATACGAATCCAACCTATTAGAACATGAGGATTAGAGAGTTGGTAGTAGGGTGCGGGGTAGGCTTGATAAATTTCAAAGATGGCTTAGGAAAATGTGGTCGTATAGAAGGTTAGGGTAGACTAGTAGTTTAACAAAATTGTAAAAACCACCTATCAAATCCAAGAGGGGGCTACCTATAAATTACAGGGGGCTGGAAGGCAAAAATATTTTTGTGGGCATAAAGATTAAAACTCAACTTGCGGTCTCCAAATTATTCTATCAAGTAATTTGCGTATCAATAAGACTTAAGAGTAAAATACATTCTTACAAATCAATTTTATAAGCAATCTTCTTAGCGCCGTTATAGATTCTAATATTGGCGTCAACTTTTATATTTTTCAAAAAAATTAGAAATAAAGCTGCAAGAAATTTAATCCAACCTAAATTAGAAAAAAAAGGAAATCCAAACCAAAATTAGGGAAAAAGTAATAGCATATATCAAAAAATTAGGAGAGGGGGCTCTCGAAACTACTTAAGGGGGCCTGAGTATGCATATTATTTAATACTGACTAATAATATCATAATGCAGAGGTCTGCAATAGACAGGTTCTTTAGTAAATATATTTCTTAAAAGAATAAGAAGGCGTTTTATATGATAATATTGCATATTATGTGAGTTAAAATAGCCAAACCTACCAATCAAATAATTTCTAAAGATTAGGCGAGGGAGATAAGGTTTGATAAATTTTTTGCTGAATGGACTGGAGAGCAGTGGTTACATTTTAAAAAAAATGATAGGCGAAACTATTCTCACGGTTTGGTTTTATAGTTCGGCTAGGATCCTCGTTTAAAGAAGATATTACGTGTAATATTTTATGGCTAAAGCCATACCAGAGCGTTGTATTAAAAGATAGCAACCCCAAAATAGAGCCATGAGAATTAGCTCTTCAAAAATTTGAATATTTTAAGCGTTTTGGAATTAAAATTTTTGTCTGTTTACTAATATTTATTTCGAATAATTTCCTTATTTTAAAGTAATAGGTGTATATATTAAATATATTTAACTATCCTATATAATTAATTTTAAATATATATATGTGTATTTATGATTTTAATTTTTTTTATAGTTACCAAACGCTCAATTTCTCAAATGCTAGAACGCTCTGGAATGGTCT